CCCTTTTGTCTCTGTCTCCCTCCTTACCTAATAAATAAATAAAAAAAAAAACAGAGACAGAAAAAGAGACACAAGAGGAGACAGAAGGAGACAGAAAGAGAAACAGAAAAAGAGGAGACAAAAAAGAAGAGACAAAAAATAAAAGAAAAAAAGAAAAGACAAACAAAGAAGAGACAAAAGACAAAAGAAAAAAAGAAAAGAAAAGAAGAGACAAAAAAAGAAAAAAAAAGAAAAAAAAGAAAGTGAAGAGACGGCTGAAGCAGAGACTCTGTAAGCCTAAAATAAATGTAATAAGTGCTGTGCAGCAGCAGCAGCAGCAGCAGCAGCAGCAGCAGCAGTTGCTGCTGCTGCTGCTGCTGCTGCTGCTGCTGCTGTTGCTGTTGACGTTTCTGCAGCATACCTGCACCCAATTGTCCACTGCTGCAACGGGAGTTCCTTGTTGCTGCTGCTGCTGCTGCTGCTGCTGCTGTTGCTGCGCTGCATGTGCTGCAGCAGCAGCAGCAGCTGTCGCTGCGACAGACGCCGGGGCGCTGGTTGCTGCTGCTGCTGCTGCTGCTGCTGCTAGATCTGCTGCTGGCTGCGCTCTTGCTGCTGCAGGAGAAGCAGCAGCTGAGCCTGGAGACTCACTCATATGCTGCTGCTGCAGCTGCTGCTGCTTCTGCTGCAGCTGCTGCAGCAACTGCAGCTGCTGCAGCTGCTGCAGCTTGTATGATGAAGCAACAGCAGCTGCTGCTACAGCCTGCTGCTGCATCTGCAGCAGACGAGCAGCACGCTGCTCCTGCTGCTGTCGGTTTGCTGCTCCTTGCTGCGGCAACAAAGCATTCAAGTACAAGGCAGCTGCAGCAGCAACAGCAGCAGCAGCAGCAACAACAGCAGCAGCAGCAGCAGCAGCAACAGCAGCAGCAGCAGCAGCAGCAGCAAACATATAAGCGTTGACATGGGCCTTCGCTACAAAGCCATCACTGCAACGTCAGAAGGCGGAGCAGCGCAGCAGCAGCAGCAGCAGCAACAACAACAACAGCAGCAACAGCAGCAGCCGCAGCAGCAACAACTGCAGCAGCAATAGCAGCAGCAGCAGCAGCAACAGCAACAGCAGCAGCTAATCATCTGCTTCAGCCGCTTTTATTGAGTGGTGCAGCAGCAGCAGCTGCTGCAGCTGCTGCAGCTGCTGCAGTTGCTGCTGCAGCTGCCGCTGCTGCTGCTGCTGCTGCTGCTGCTGATATATACATAAGGCCTACCTGAGCGTGATGCTGCTGCATGCGGGGCGGAGGGGTCTTGCTGCTGCTGCTGCTGCTGCAGCGTTTGCTTCTGCAGCGCAGCAAGCAGCACTGCTGCTCTGCTTGTGGGCTGCTCCAAGAGGAAGCTTCTCGCATCTGCTGCTGCTGCTGCTGCTGTTGCTGCTGTTGCTGCTGTTGCTGCTGCTGGGTTTGTTGCTGCTGTCTCCTGATTCAAGTGTAGTGCTAGCTGCTGCTGCTGTTGCTGCCGCTGCGCTGCTGCTGCTGCTGCAACAGCTGCTTGCTGCTGCAAGCTCAACAGTGACGCTTGTTGCTGCTGCTGCTGCTTCAGCTGCTGCAGTTGCTGCTGCTGCTGCTGCTTCAGTTGCTGCAGCTGCTGCAGCTGATGTGCTGCTCCTGCTGCAGCAGAGGCTCCCGCACCCACATCTGCAGCTCCTGCTGCTGCAGTGCGAAGCGCATGCTGCTGCTGCTGCTGCTGCTGCTCCTGCTGCTGCTCCTGCTGCAGCAGCAGATGTCCTGCTGCTGCGCTGCTCTCTAGCAGCCTTGCTGCAAGGTCTGGGGAACTGTCTGCAGCAACAGCAACAGCAGCAGCAGCAGCAAAAGCAGTAACAGCAACAGCAGCAGCAGCAACAACAACAGCAGCAGCAACAACAACAGCAGCAGCACCAACAGCAACAGCAACAGGAACAGCAGCAGTAGCAGCAGCAACAGCCGCATTACTGAGTCATGCTGCCAGCAAGATGAACCCCAAACCCTAAACCCTAAACCCTAAACCCTAAACTCTAAACCCTAAACCCTAAACCCTAAACCCTCACCTGCAGCAGGGAGGCTCTTCTCTGCTGCTGTTGGGGGCATTGCATGCGGGTGAGTTTCGCTGGGGCTGTCTGCTCCTGCTGCTGCTGCTGCTGCTGCTGGTGTTGCTGCTGGTGCTGCTGCTGCAGCTTGTTGCTGCAGCAGCTGTAGCTGCTGCTGCTGCAACCTATGCATGCGCTGCTGCTGCAGCTGCTGCAGCTGGTACTGATGCAGATGCTGTCGCCTCAACGCCAAAAGAGCAGCAACAGATGCACTTGTATGCTGCTGCTGCTGCTGCTGCTGCTGCTGCTGCTTGTCACTCGCGGGCTCCTCCTGCTGCAGCAAGCTGCTGCCAGCTGCTGCTTCGGCTGCATCTGCTGCAGCAGAAACAGCAGCAGTAGCAGCAGAAGCAGTTGTTGATATAGAAGCCGCTGCTGCTGTGTTGCCTCCTGCTGCTGCTGGCGTCTCCTCCTTCATTGCTGCTGTTGCTGTTGCTGCTGCTGCTGTTGCTGCTGCTGCTGCTGCTGCTGCTGCTGCTGCCCCTGACGCTGCGTCTCGCACCGGGAGCACTGTATTCAACCAAGACAGCTGCTGCTGCTGCTGCTGCTGCTGCCGCTGCTGTGGTAGCTGCTGCTGGTGAGGTTGTGTCTGCTGCTGCTGCTGCTGCTGCTGCTGCTGCTGCTGCTGCAGTCGATGCTGCTGCTCCAACAACCCCTGCAGCTGCTGCTGCAGCAACTCTGCTGCTCCTGACTCCATGTTGCTGCGCGCATGCAGCGCATTTCAGGTTCTTCTGCAGTTCCTGCTGCTGCTGCTGCTGCTGCTGCTGCTGGTTGAGCAGCAGTTGCTGCTGCAGCGGTCCCGCTGCTGCTGCTGCTGCTGCTGCTGCTGTTGTACGATTCTGCTGCTGCAGCAAATCCGCTGCAGCAAAAGTTGCGATACTGTTGCTGCTGCTGCTGCAGCTAACCGTGGTATCTGGGGCTGCTGCTGCTGCTGCGGCTGCTGCTGCTGCTGCTGCTGCTGCATGCAGACGAGCCGCCGCCGCC